TGTTCTTGAGAGATAACCTAAAATTAATAATAATAAAGAGCCATGGGCTATGTTTAGTGTAAATGGCAGCTTTGTGTATTTCTCGTGATCAAATTTCGTTTTGGTTATGACATAAACATTGCTACCACAAATGGTAGAATATTTTCACACCTGTGCGAAGTTTTGGTGCCAATTTATCACAGTATGCCATTGTCCCATTGTATTGAGTTTCTTGCGTATATCGTGAAATTTGTAATAAATGGCCCTACGCTTTTGCCGCTTTTGTCTGAATTCCTTACATAGACAAGTAAATGCCTATATTGTTAGGTTACTTCCGTAGTGTGTGTTAAGGTTAGGACATAATTTAATCCGATTTTCCTTATTTTAGTTCTATTCCGAGTTCTTACTGTTTGTGTTCGCTAATTGAATATATCCCTGCCCACAGGTTTCAGTCTCTTTACACAACCCGATGTAAAGTAGGCGAACAAAATTAGTTACCTCCATATTGGTACACACACTTCAGGAGCGCCCATTGTTGTATTAATATAAAGGTCTGTGCTAATGTTTCGTTTGGAATTTCGTTCATAATTTAACAATTCTAAAAAATGTTTTTTTAATTTTGCCTGAAAATAATTTATTTAGGTTCAACATTGGCAAAAATTTAATATTTTTTGCAGATATTACTACCTTTTAAACAGATGTCATTAGGCAGTTTTTTCGAATATTTTCGTTTTTTTCTGAATATATCAGATAATGTTTCAGTTTTTTTGTTTTTTGTTCATATCATCAAGAAGCATCGGAATAAAAAAAAATGATGGGAAATAGGAAATCTTGTAACAGAAGGTGAATTTGGATCAAATTCCAGAAGTAATACATCTTCCTTTTTCTCAAAATCAAATTGGAAAAAACTCATTATATGAAAAAATGAATGCATTAATTTTCTATTTTAAAAACAAGTCTTAGAATAAACTGCTGTTTAGATTTACTGTGATGCTGTGAAAGAGCCTCTAGGGCAGGGATCTCCAACACGCGGCCCGCCAGTCATTTTTTTGCGGTCCGCGACATGGTTGGGATTTTTCCAATAGTACGAGGTCAACTATTAGTGAGTTTTATCGTGTTATTTATCATCAAGAGTCCGGTCCAAAAAACGGTAAAAAGTGAAGCAAAAATCTCCCTCTGTTATTCCAATTTACCACCTTCATGTTTTATTCTATTGTTATAATCCTATTATAAATGCAATAATTCCATTTCGCACGTTCATTGTTACGAAATAAACGAGTTTCGGTCAGTCCATTGTGCCCGAAAAAAGATTTGCAAAGCTAATTGCACAGTCACGTCGCATACCTGGGATGTTTGGCAGTTCTTATATTTGCGAGCAGTTTTTTTTTCAACTATGAAATTTAGCAAGTCAGTCCTCCGCACACGACTAACGTACAAGCATTTGCATGTTGTCTTATGACTATCAAACCAACGCAAAATAAAGCCAAATATCCAGCACAAACAAATGAAAATGTTTCATGTCTTGTTTGCTGTAAGATTCAAGTGTAATTTCTACGAAATACACTCAGATACCCATTTTTGTACCTAATTTCTTGGTTTGCGGCCCGCGTGGTCAATAAATTTCAAAAAGTGGCCCGCGACATGTTTTGAGTTGGAGACCCCTGCTCTAGGGCTTATCTAATCAAGCCTAATTTTTTACACAGTAACTCGGATGGGGAGATTTTTGGCGGGGTATTCATTTCTGGGCCATAGAGAAGAAGGAACAGTTTAAAGACATATCCTCCGAGTATCTGAATCAGGGATCGGCAAACTTTTGTCGTTGACGGGCCAAAATTAAAGGTTGCAAGTCATTGGCGGACCGCACATATTTTTAGATAGGTAAACACCGAGAAAATGATCAATGAATCACAATTTTTCACACAGATTTCAGTTAAATTTCAAGCAGCGCGCGAAGACTGATCATATGAATACTTTCTGCGCCATTAAACCATTTGCACTCAGCATCAATTTTTATACGTTCCGTTGCCATTTGTCTAATTATAATCAATTTATAGGCTCATTAAACGATTAATGGTGAATTATATTCTTGTTAGGTTATAATATAATTTAGTGTCTCAAAACAAATTCTGTTACCTAACGAATATAATCGTCAATACAATTGTTTTGTTAATATAATTCAGTGATGCGTCGCGGGCCGGATTATATTGTTCCGCGGGCCGGATCTGGCTAGGGGGCCGTACTTTGCCGACCCTGATCTAAATGGATACTGTAATAATACATTAATTTTATACTTTCTGCATCAGTTAAGTGGATAGTTTTTAGAAATGGGGGCCCCGTGATAAAGCCACGCCAAGCCAAGCCCCAAATTTCCCAATTTAATTGTTGTAAAATACCATAAATTTTATAAACTTTTTAACAGTGTATATTGCGTCACAAAATTTGAAACGATTTATTGAAATCACAAAGGCCCCGTAAAAATGGAGTCACTATCCAACCAAGTCACAAATTTTTCAACTTCAATAATTACTGTAAAAGATCATTAATTTTCTGAGTTTTGAAACGGTGTATAATGCTTCGCCAAATTTAAAACGATTTATTGAAATCACAAACTTGGTGTAGGATTTCTGTTTACATTCAGTCATGCAGTTAATCCTTCACTATTGGAAAAATAGTAAAGTACTCTGCTATTTTCTAGTCAGGCATCGTTGGCATTTTCACAGTATATTGACCAGATAAGATGATGTTGCAGGTATAGGTGATTTGGGTCTGTGACATGAATAAAACCTAAATGTTATTGCGTAAAATTTAAGTTTTAAATATTAAAAATTTGACACGGCTTTGGCGCGTGTTTTATGTGTAGCTGAACTTCGTAGCTACGTTCACCATAAAGGTTCATTACAAAGTTCTTGCAATGGATTTTCTCACTCTAGATTTTGTTGCGACATTCCTATTTTATGACGCCCTGAATAGTGGTTCCAACTTTTTCGTTAAACTCCTCCCTTTGCCCATTTTAGAACTCTTTATTCGGCGCTCCAGAATTGTATGTACCAATATGGAAGGTAACTAATCGCCTACTTTACATCAAGTTGTGTAAAGGGACGAAAGTCTATGGGCAGGAGGTATATTCACTTGACTAACACAAACAGTCCCCGAACTCGTAATAGAACTAAAATATAGAATATTGGAATAAAATTATGGTCTGACCCTAACCTGGTACATATACTACGGGAGTACCCATTATTCCCCCCTCACTAGGCCTAAAAAATACTTCATTTGTTCAATCTTCGATCTATCCCTAGCTAAAGTGTTATGTACAAGTCGCACTCCCGCATTTTCACAACTCGATTAAGAAATTTATAATGTGTGTATTAATAACTATTATAGTAATAAAAAGAAATAAAGAGTATTAGTAATACTACAAGAAATACAAAGCAAAATTTCTCCCTGAAAACGACAAAATTCCTCTGGGGTGGAAGTCCTCCGAGTTTGGGAAACGTTGGGTTTGTCACCCCTTTCCTACACGAACACTGAATAAGCGCATACTATTGACAAAATCCTTATTTCATTACTACGAATTCTCGTATATTTTACACTCATTATTAAAAGTATTATGCTATGTGTATTGCCAAGTATAAGGTCAGAATATCCTGAACCATCAACATACTCTGATTTGTCTGGTAATTCGATACATAGTTACCAGACAGGAGGTCTTGCTTGGGTGAAAGTCATTCTTATTTATAGATCATTATATGTTGAAGAAACAGAAATGATTGATTGCTAATATAGAGTCCACTATTCGTCAAACTTTTTTCATTTTTTCATCACGATTCACTTGGTACGGCCAAATTTTTCGCGGCCCTCGGGAACTAAAATAAATATAAAGTAAATTTTAATAATACGAAAAATATTAAAATAAACTACATAGAATTGACAATATCTTTTACTGTCGTAGCTTTTTTTTGTTTTTTAAAAACAATATTGGTCTTACTCACAGAGCTCTCATCTTAGACTGATGTTCATTTTACAAAATCTTCGTTGTTCCCCTCAGTTCCGTACTAGCCTTGATTAGGTACTTCCGTAGTATATGTACCAGGTTAGGGTTAGGCCATGATTTTATTCCGATTTTCCTTATTTTAGTTCTGTTATGAGTTCGGGGACTGTCTGTGTTAGCCAAGTGAATATACCCCCTGCCCATAGTTTTCAGTCCTTTTACACAACTTTATGTAAAGTAGGCGAACTAAATTACTTTGATATTGGTACACAAATTTCTGGAGCGCCGACGATTAATTATACAAGTATCGTTCGATATTCGGTATGCATTATGATGGAACGATTTATCGACCGCCAATTGGGGATGTCTGTAAAATGATTTCAGGCATGACATTTGGTCTACGCAACATTACTCAAATAAAATGTTTTGATGTTTTATTTCAGTGTAGGAACTTTTTAGGCGCTCCACAAGCATGTGTACCAATTTGGCGGTAACTAATTTTGTTCGCCTACTTTACATCAAGTTGTGTAAAGGGACTGAAACCTATAGGCAGGGCATATTCACTTGGCTAACACAGACAGTCTCCGAACTCGTAATAGAACTAAAATTAGGAAAATCGGAATAAAATTATCGGCCTAACCCCAACCTGGTATACACACTACGGGAGTACCACCTTTTGCATTGATTTTGTATGAGAAGCCTTTGTAGTTGAGCCGTGATACCATTTCGCCATTTTCTATATCTAAAAACAACGTAAACAAAAGTAACACTTTTTAATGGTTTTCTAAAAAATAAAAAAATTATACATATTTATTGGTTTGTTTTTTATGTCTTCAACCTCGCTTCATTAGAGTGATTTTATGATGGCTGCTTTCGTGGTACCAAATGCACAATAATTTGAGCTCTCGGATACCGTCTTGCGGATTAGTCGCCTGACGTATACATTATCTCGAAAGTTGGCAAGCATGAAAACTCGACTTCTTAGATTCAATTTATTAGTTTATCATAATTAACTGCAATTTATTTCCAGATATGCATTCGGAGATGTACGACATCCTCTCAAAGAAACAGCTACATTGGTTGAAAAAATCACGTACGATCAACTCTGCAAACTGGTATGTTTCATATTATTGGACACGTAGTGTACATAGCGATCGTTTCAACTTTCAATATTATGTTGTTGTTCTTTGACACTTTTTTGACACCTAGTGGAAAATCTAAAAAGTCTCTTTTTTCTCTGATTACTGGACCAATTGCTTTGAAATTTTTAGTAGTTGAAGATGGAATTTTTTTCTAGAAGGCTATTAATTTTATTTATTTCTAAATTTTGTATGAATTCTATTAAATTTGATATTTCTTCCAAAATTTCTCTGTATTTTTTTATTCATGGGAACACGGATTTTAGTCCGCGTGAAGACTGGCTGTACGTTTTGATTCTGCAAAATTCCTGCTACTAAAAAATTAGAATTTTCTTGATGGTACCGGTAGCGTCAAAGGTACCGGCAAAGACTGATTCGCTCTCGTCTACGTGTCCATATATTTGAGCGTTGCTATCTCGTTTTGTGTTGTAAAGCAGGGGTTTGTCACCTTTAATACAGGAGGGCCAAATACAAATAACTCGGTAAAACCGCGGGCCGCACCGAGCTGTTCGCTTTGTACAAGCTAGACGTCATAGGCATAGGTAAAAAATTGAAGACAAGCTTAGCAACGCAAAGGGATTGGAATTACTCCCGCGTACCAGATTTACCTACCAGTAAAATAAAAACGTGTTTCCCGGGCTGCACAGTGAACCACATTTGAAATTAGCACTTATCCGCGGGCCGCACAACTTTCGCTTGTGGGCCGCATTTGGCCCGCGGGCCGCTTGTTGCACGCAACTGTTGTAAAGTACTATGTCTAGCAAACCTCAGTTATTTACTTCCAATAAAAATCGTAGCTTGCATTATTTTGCTCACATTTTTACACTCGACCAATTATAAGTTGCATGATTTTAACTGATTTTTCAAGTTAAAATTACTGACCAGCACTTCGCTAATGAGAAAGATTTTTTCAACCAGGAGCCAGTATTGGACTCATGACATTCATTCCCATCTTTCGAATTCGGCAGCAACCAATAACCCAAACGTGACTGGAGCCCAGAGCATCTCGCTTCATAGGTGTAATTTTGTTTAGAGCGGTTGTTCTCCATCTTTGCGCCCCCTTTTTAAAATTTGTCAAGTCTCACATCTCACCTCAAAAATAACTAGCTAACAACAATCTACAAATAACAGATAGTATAGCGAAAGTATGTTTTATTCAAAAAGCACGTTGAATATACGTGGATGGAAGGTAAATATACAAAATATGGAAATGTAAATAACCGAAATAAGTCAGGCAAGATCAAATCTAACAAATAGTGGGGCTCCCGAAGTATGCGAACCAAGATGGCGGACATCGGAACGTAACATGGTAACAGTTTAGGGTTAGGCGATAATTTTTTTCCAATTTTCCTTATTTTAGTCTTATTATCAGTTCGAAGACTAGCCAAGAGCCTCCCGTAGTATTTATACCTAAAATTATGGCCTAACCCTAACCTAGTACACATATTACATTCTGATGTCCGCCATCTTGGTTCGCATACTTCGGGAGCCCCAAACAGTTTTATTTTTAATTAACTTCACGCCCTTTTCAGAGAATTCAGTTCAGAGAATAGCTGAAAATCTTCTATTTTTTAGCTGGTTGCTGCAGCAGAAGTAGCAGAGAAGCGTTCGTCTCGTGAAATCGGAATCGAGGAATTTCTTTATTTGCTTCGTAGAGATGAAAGCAGATTATCAAGGTTCGCCAAACGATTAAAATTTCTCGACTCGAGGAATAAAATTATTATGCCAGCAACCGAAGCCGGTAATGACGTGAAAGTAGAAAATATAGAAATAGGAGAAGACGATGATGACGTCACAAATATAGGTGAGTTGCTATTTGTACTTCTATATTGAATTTTTTGTTTGTTTACGGGGCTTTTTCATTTTTCCGATCCGAATAAAGCTCTATGCAAGCAGATTAACGCATATATCGCCCAAATTGGTACATTTTTCATATTTATAAAATTGTTTCATTTTTTACTTTAGTTGGTGATTCTGGAAATTTCATGGGAAAGCGGTGGCAGATTTGTGTGGAATTCTTGTCGTACTTGGATGATAGCGGGGAAATGGTGAAAGTCATTTCAAGTAATGTGAACGATGAAATCAAAACCAGAAGACTGGAGGTGAGAGACGCGAGAGTGTTCTAAATGAGGGTAAAAAATTGGTACTCCCGAAGTATGTGAACCAAGATGGCGGACACCGGAACGTAGTAAGTATACCAGGTTAAGGTTAGGCCATAATTTCATCCCAATTATACCTCTTATAGTTCTATTACAAATTCGGGGACTAGCCAGGGGCCTCCCGTAGTATATGTACCCGGAATATTGCCTAACCTGGTACACATACTACGTTCCGGGGTGTTTGCCCTCTTGGTTCCACATACTTCGAGTACCAAAAAAATGAATAATACTTAGCTTGTTGAATTCCAGTATTTCGTTGGGAAATGGACATTCTTCAGGCATAGGCAATCTCTCCAGAAGTGTGTGTACCAATATGTAGGTAACTAATTTAGTTCGCCTACTTTACATCAAGTTGTGTAAAGGGATTGAAACCTTTGGGCAGGGGGTAAATTCAATTGGCTAACACAGACAGTCCCCGAACTCGTAATAGAACTAAAATTAGGAAAATCGGAATGAAATTATGGCCTAACCCTAATCTGGTACACACACTACGGGAGTACCAAATTTCTTTTATAGTGACGACTTCCAAACAACTCATTTATATAGACTGATTTTGGGGCTTATATTAATTTAAACACTACTACTATTAAAATAAATATGTCGATGCATGCCCAATAAATAACACGCTGGTCCAGTGGTGCACCGCGGCGCATAGCGATTTGTTGAGTGCGCCCTGAAAATTAACAGAATTGTGTTAAACATAACCAATACATGATTCAATATTTTACCTATTGTATTCATTTTGAATGTTTTATTGAATTGAATGCATTTTAAATGTTGTGTTTATGCCTCAAAAAAGTCATTTTACCATTCTGTGTCGTTTACTTTCTGTTACGTAAAGTCTGGCTCCATTGTAACGTAACTGTTAAGTAACAGTAGAGGTAGACATTACTTGCTGCATTCCTTAGACCTACATGTTTACAAACTTTAAAAGGCATGAAATACATTTTAAAGATCACAAAATTGAGTTTAATTTGAAGAAAGCAATTTTTTCGTGTAAGTGCACCGTGGGTTTTTTCCCCGTTAGGAAACCGCTGCGCTAGTCTATTTGCCACGTGACCAACACCACCAGAACGCATGGTAATGGTTCCACATAAATGGGCCTCTTGTGCAAATGCATCGCATTTCCTATTGAACGGTAGTATTGGATATAACAGCTGAAATAGCTAACTAACTTTATTTTTGATGTTATTTTAGTCTGATAATATTTTTTTTCCTAGAGGGCAGAGCTCCAAACCAGGGACATGAATTCACACGAGTACATGGAATATGTTAAGTGCAGACAAGTAACGTTTGCACCAAATACAGGTTCGATTATTATAATAAGATAGACGGATATAGCTTGACTTATTCAGGACTAATCCGGTTTGAACCGGTTCTCACCTGTACTGCACATGACAATATTATTTGCCCAAAGTAAAACTTAAATCTGATCTGGACACTGTAGCAGATTTAAGATTCGCAGACTTGATGTGCAGAATTTATATTTGTCGACAAATATGCTTGTGTCTAAAATTGGGCGCTCCAGAAGTGTGTGTACCAATATAGTAACTAATTTTGTTCGCCTACTTCACATCAAATTGTGTAAAAGGACTGACACCTATGGACCACTTGGCAAAATCAGACAGTTCCCAAACTCGTAATAGAACTAAAATAAGGAAAATCGGAATAAAATTATGACATGTCTCTAACCTGGTACACACACTAAGGAAGTAGCTAAAAATGTCGGGTCTCACTTGTCTTTCATTCGGCCCATGTGTTCCGCTTGTCCAAATTGTATGAATCTCACTCCAAATAAATGCTGCAATTTCCTGCTACAGTATTATATCTATCCTAACCCAGAACATAGAATGAAATCCGCTTGATATACTCTCTGTTAAATCCGTGGTTCCCAACCCTTTTCGTTAAATGCTTTCCTTCGCCTATTTTGGAACACTTTATTCCTTCCCCACAAAAAGTATTTTATTTATTCAATCTATAATCTTGGATTCCTAAATTAGTAGCACGTATTATGCAGTTTCACTCTGGCTTTTATACATTTCAAGTAGTTTATAATGTGCGCATAAATAAGTATCATTGTTATAAGAATGAACTAAAGAATATTAGTAAATCCACAGCAAGTGCAAAGTTAAATTTCTCCTCAAGGACGGAAAAATTCTTTCCTGATTCCTCCGCAGGTGGGAAACGTTCATTCAATTCGATCGGATCATTAGCTAATTAAATTTAATAGTCCATAATGCGTCCACTAATATGTATTACTAAATAATAAAACAATATTAGTAAAATACAAGGCTATATCTCCCTCCCCCCTCATCCTCTGAAACAAAAAATCCCTTTCTTGGCACATAACGCACTTTTCAAAGTTGATAATATGCCTATAAATCTGTATCATAATAATACTAAATAAATAAACAATATTAGTGATGCCACACCAAAGACAAAACAAAAAATTCTTCCCCCAACTGGAATTGCTGCTTCAAATGGATTATTACGTGGTGATACGCGCAACTCACACTCAAGCTTTTGCACAGTTTGAATACTTCATGAACAGTTTGTATTACAAAAAAACTAAATAAATACAAAGTATTAACAATACTACACGCGAATACAAAGAAAAATTTCTTTCTCGAAAGCATCAAAAATTTTTTTTTGGGAGGAATCCCTCCAGGTCGGAAATTAATATTTAGAACAATATACGCAGTAGACCATTGGTATAATAAAATCAGCGAAATACTTAATGTATTCAAATATGTCACGTGATATTTTATAGAGGTGTTGTAGGGCGATTTTTCACAAAGCAGATAACATATATACAGGGAATTAACTCTATTTTATTAATATTATTGAAAATTCTAAAAAGTTACAACTTTCATGGCTAGGAATGCTTACTGTTATTGTAGAAATCTATTTTTTTTCTCTCGAATATTCGGGGACTTGTGGTTTATATTTACTGTAATTCTCTGTAAGTTTATCTAAGGTATATTTGATTTGAATGCATGGTAACACAATGTTAGAGATTTTGATTTGATTGGACAAAGAATGGTTCACATTGAAAAATTGGGACTCTCGAAGTATGTGAACCAAGATGGCGGGCACCGTAACGTAGTATGTGTACCAGGGTCGGGTTAGGCCATTATTTTATTCCAATTTTCCTTTTTTTAGTTTATTTACGAGTTCAGGGTGTAGCCAAGTGACTCCCGTATTATTTGTACCCGAAGTCATGGCTTAACTCTAACCTGGTACACATACTACGTTACGGTGCCCGCCATCTTGATTCGCATACTTCGGGGGTACCGAAAAATTGAGCTTGAATATAATTCCGCTCGTTATAAATATAAATCTCCAGTTAAGAGAATTTGAAAAACCATTCTTTATAGCAGAAGTGGGCAAGGTTTTTGAACCAGGGGCCAAAAATTTTGTCCACCAGTCTGGCGGGTCATGTAAGTGTGACGTAGAAAGTTACATTTTATGAACAATATTTACAGCGTTACAAAAGAAAGGTGGCAAATAATATCCCTCGTGCAAAAACTAAAATTAACCGCATTCTTAACAAATTCTTCGAGATTCCTTTTGGCTAACACATCAAAATTTGGTTTCAGTTTGGTTGTAGCAGCATCTGGCGGGCCAGACTGAATTACCGCCCCGGATTTGGCCCGCGGGCCGTACTTTGCCCATGCCTGCTCTATAGCGTTCTGGAAGAACAGAAATCTTTGGCAACTATGGTATAAGCTGATTATTTCTCAACCAATATCTTAGCTTTGGTGAGATACATTAGAGTAGTTTTTTTTTATGCAAAAAATAACAACTTCCCTCTAGTTGTTGCCAAATTTTTCTTAGTCCCTTTTATAGCTTCGTGCTTCACCTCATCACTAGACCAATCCTCAGCTTTCTCTCTAGCGCTCAGAGATTTTAGATAAAGCGACTCGGCCTTGGAATATTCACCGAGATTGTGATGCACAAGTCCGTTATTGTTTAATAAATCTGAAATTACCCGATATTTTACTGCGTTCGCGCTAAAAGTTTGTTCCATCAAGGCTGTGCCTTCATAATAAAACGCAACCGCTTTCTCGTTTTGGCTGTTTGCCCTGTAACTTGTGCCAACGTTATTCAAGCATTTCGCCAGCTCTTTCGCCTTTTTTGTTTTATCAGCTCCTGATACCAATCTCAAATCATTCAAAATATCAGTGATTATTATCAAACCAATATCGCTTGCGATCATTTTCATTCTTCCCCCTTCGTTAACAAGTGTTATGATCAAGTTGTTACATTTCAACGAACAATTTCTCAGCCCAACGACCGAATTATTTGGATTCGATTCCAACTTATACAACTTAGCACAGCAAGAGAGCGAAATCAGTGCACGAATATGGAACAAGTCAGCCATATAATCAGCAGCCACTTTGATGACGTCACTCGCTTTTGGTTTAGGTGGTGACGTCATCAATACTTGCAACGCTTTAATGCACTTTAATGCTTCATCAGGTTTTCCCATATGACAGTAGCATTCTGATCTCATGAATTGTTGTTCTGGAGAAGACGAAATATCTTTCAATGTAATCAGCGCTTCCGCAAACTTGAATTGTTGTATTAATCGTCGTACTTTTTCTGGAGAATGAGAATACAAAATTGTAAATTCATACGTGACTCGTGATAATTTGAATGATTGCGAATAAATCTCGTGTGCGAAAAAAATTGCAGAGATCAGATTATAAAAAATTGAACGAAATAAATGGTTTGGTGGATTTGTTTACAGTCTATGTTGGACTTCAAGATGTTTGCGTTTTTCAAAGGGTAGCGTTCGAAGCTTCACGAATCTAAAATTTGAACAGTGGGGTATATTAATTAATGAATGTCAAAAATTCGACTGCAAAGACAAATTAACTGCAGCTCGAATAATTTAAATATTGATTGATCCAATAGGAAAACAACAAAAATGTTGCAGTCGTCTCAAACTCATTTGGGCATGATCCATCCCTTTGTGACAAATTGGTAACGGAACTCGACAGAAAAAGACATGAGCTGGCCCCTGAAACGTCTTTTGTTCAAGTTACATGATGACTGACATGTCGTTCGTTCGCGACTGCGACCTAGAATCATTTTCTTAATTTTTTTTATTTTCTTTCTTAAGAATTTAACTCACTTACCAAAAGCAACAAAATCAAGTCCGTTAGTCGGATTTACCCTTCCAAGATTTTCAGTGGCGTCACGAGGAAAAGACTGATTCGGCATCTGATTTAAGGATTCTACAAAATAGTGAATACAATATAATCAACAAAATGCAGTAAATGCAGGCAACTAAAATATGTTGTTATTCTTATTAAATTTATAAACTTGTCAAAAGCAACATTCAAAGTGAGGAGTCATCGAGAAGTGTCTCAAAAATTTTACGTCTCATTTGCCTCAGAATGATCTCTTCTTTAGCACATTTTGCCATACATTGCCACTGATTTGAGTTGCGGTAAATATATATTGTGGATCAAACGATCAAAGTAAGCATATAAATTGGGATTCATTCAATGTTTTGGATTATAATGGATAAATACTTTGGAAGAAGGTTAAAGTATTCATATGAAGTGGAATTCATGCAATATCCTGAGTTAGGAAAGATATATTACCCTGGCAGAAGAATAGAGCATTCACAGGAAGTGAGGATAGTACAATTGGGACAAGTGTTGGGCGAGTGGTTCTTGTGTGTAGTTTCTGGAACATTTGGAACACGAGTATACGACATCTTTGAGACAACCACCATCGGATAGTGATAGGATGGGAGCTAGTTATAAATAATAAACGCAGTAATATTTTACGAGCAAATATGTCATAGCGTATATATTTCATTGCGTATAAATATATGTCATAGGCAGTGGTTCCCAAACTATGGGTCGCCACGCCCGATGGGGTCGCGTGAAAATTTTCCGGGGTCGTCTAATTTTTTTCCAACATGCGCACACTAATGACTGGGATTTGAAAGTGTAATTTGTGCTGGTCAGCAGATGCCTAACAGTGCCTAAGTTCGGATTTTTCAGCAATAACGCGACCATTTATTGTCCAAACAGCGCCAAAATTACTGTGTAAAACTTTCATGCGGTACCTTTACAGCTGGTCGGCAGGTACCGATATTAGTAAGTGTAGTTGAGTGACAGTGGTAAGAGCGTCATTATTATTTCATTTTTTATAGCTTTTTTGATCTTGTTACATCCGAATGAGTAGTTGAACCGCTGGTACGCGAATTGGATTTTTTTTCGGGCTGCGAGAAATTATGTTGCTTTGTTATTTTGTACCAGTGTAGCCGATTGTTTATCGAATATACAAAGCAAAGTTGCTTTATTTGTCGATTGACACCTAATTAGGTGTTTCACAAGTATAGTATTGATCGCTAGGGGGTGTCTTGGCCGAGTAATTACACTTTAGGTTTCGATCAGTTGCAAAATCGCCTTGTTAATTCGCGCACGTGTTTTGTCCACATCGCCTCCACATAAAAGTGAACATTTTCGTATTGCAATATTACGTATTTAGACGTTTCATACATAAATTCGAAGCGTTCCGAGCAGTCAAACACAAAACCACAACAAGTTCAAGCATAATAAAAAGCTCTTGAAATATGTGATTCTGTACACGTTTTTTCCTATTTTACTTTCATGCCCTGTTTAACTTTTGTAATAATTAATGGAGCAGCCTATAATATGTTAATATTGATCTAAAATAATAAAGACACTGTTGGAATACACTGAATAGGATTTTGAATTTATGTATATTTAGAAGCAATCTTACTATTTCCTAAGTATCGTACGCTTTCTCACAATCTATCACATTTTTTCAAGTCCGTATATGTTTCGCCAAAGAACCGTTATAATTCTGATCTAAGAGATTTTACACCGTGGTTTCCATACGATGTCATGTGTTGTCATCAAATCTTCAGGGATTTCTTCCGGCGCCTTGGCAGACTCGTTCATATATTTTTGGGCCAATGTTCGCCGTCAACGTCCACATGCAGTTGATATACAAGTGCATTGTAATTAAACTTAAAAACTAAATTTTGAAGTTGCTGAATGTTTCTAGTTGTGGGGTCGCGTCTGTAGCCTTTGATTTTTATGAAAATTAAGGTCGCGAAAAAAAAGTTTGGGAACCACTGTGACATAGCGTATAAATGCCATAGCGTGAAATAGCGTATATATGTCATAGCGTGAAATATGCCATAGTCTAGGGTTGGTCCTAATGTAGCGTGAAGTCTTTCGCTGTGTGTATTTCTCTTATAGGTGTAGTGCGAGGTCTGCCGAGTTAGGGTTGTGTTCAGAACCGTGCGATAAATAAAGGTAAAAATTAATTGCATAGAAATAAGTCATTTCCATCAGGTGCGGAAAATGCAGCGGTGGATCTCACGCTGTAGTAATATCTTGAGCCTAATATAGTGCGGAAAACCTCATACTATAATAGAGTTTACACGAGGCAGGCTGAAATGGATGTTTAATGCGCTTTATTTGTCGACAACAACAAAGGTCCTAGTATGCAAATATTGGTTCATAATTTTTATGACTTTCCAACGTCGGCAATTTACACCTGTGAGCCATTAAAAACATATTACGAGCAAACCTTGGCAGCTGGTATTCTTCATTTTCTTTTCTTCTGAATCTGTCAAAACTCTACTTGGTATCGAATCATGTTCGATCGTGGCTGGCGGTGTTGCAGAGTTCTCTAAATATTAGTTGGATTTTTCCTAATTAATTGTACTTTACCATTGATGCCTTCGATTAGCATATGGATGAATGGTGCTCAACGGCCAAATTGACTGCAAAGGATGCAAATAATTCTAGATCAAATATCAGGAGTGCACAACTTGCGGGCCAACTGCGGCCTGCAAGGAAAAAGTTTGCGGCCCGCGGAGGAGTGCCAATTTTGAATGGTGTGCGGCCCGCGAATGCAAAGCCTATACCAATAACATTACAGTGACCTAACAGCTGGCGGCTGCGAAGCGAACAACGTATTTCATGGGGTTAATAACACTTATTTGTATCTGGCCCTCCTGTATTAAAGGTTGCGCACCCCTGGGGTAAGTCATTGGGATTATAACATGGTGTGCCGTAATCATTACTGTTATAAATCATAAATATCGCGAAAACAACTTTCCTGGGTGAAAAAAGTATCTGAATGTCTTGATAAATATTGAATGTTGCAATCCCTGCATGTTGATTAGACAATCTTGCGGAAATATACAAGGGGGCCGAAGATGTTTGCGGAAATATCCCCGAATTCATGACATTAATTGGGATAACATCAATGGATAAAAAAAATTTAAAATGAATAGTAATAGTTTACCTTCTCCTGTGTTAATATCCACCCGTCCTATGTTAGCTGCATGAACATTTGCTATTTGTCTGAAAAATGATATGATCTTATTAAGAAGTTGCGTTTTTTAATAACTTGTACATTTCAATATACAGAAATTATGTGCAACATAGTTGGCTTATAAGCATCACTTTTACTTTCTACTGTTCTATCTCTAATAAAAAAAATTGAGAGCTCCCGTAGTGTGTGTATCAGGTTAGGGTGAGGCCATAATTTGATTCAAATTGTCCTTATTTTAGTTTTATTACGAATTAGGGAACAGCCAAGTGAATATAGCCCCTGCCCACAGGGATCAGTCCCTTCAAACAACTTGATGTAAAGTAGGCGAACAAAATTAGTTACCTCCTTATTGGTTCACACACTTCTGGGGCGCCCATATTTGTAGGAAGTTTTCTGTATTCACCCTAACAATTAACAATTTTTAAACTTAAATGACTTATTTGTATTATTACCTTGTTCCTTCGTGACAGTTTACTACAGTAACATTTATCACTGGCAGTTGAATCAATTTTCCTTCTTCCGCCATTAAATTAGATTAAGCAATGCTTCAGTGAAATCTATAATTCAGTTAATAATCTGAAACAAATACGTACAATCTACTGAATCTGGAGATTGGGTAAACATGTACTAAACAGGTAAAGAATATCAAAAATAGTACCTCATTCACACAGTTACAACGTTGACCACGATTAAATTAAAATAGTAAGGCCATATTAAATTTTAATTTTTAATTAAATTTAAATTTCTCAGTTGATTGAATAATACACGATAGAAAAAGTCATTATACGCTGAAAAAAATCATTTTTTTTAATAAACGCGTAATCGCGACGACCGTTTCAGAAGCCGTTGCATCAAATTTCCGATTCCGATTTTGGAACCCTCTCTGGCTGCGCCCATGGTAGTAGTAGAAGCCAATCAACAGTTATTCAAACTTTTATCAGCACCTTAGGTATGGATAATCACCAACGTGATGGCGAGCGTTTATATTTTGTAACACAGTGGTTCTCAGTTTAGTCGCACCCCATCTCAAAAATAACTATCTAACAATAAGCAATAAAGCTACAAATAACAGATAGTATGGCGGAAGTATGTTTTATTCAAAAAAACACGTTGAAAATACGTGGATCAAATTGCAATCTCTAAACCAGGGGTGTGCAAAGTGTGGCCCGCGGGCCAAATGCGGCCCGCGTAGGAAAATTGTGCGGCCCGTGGAGAAGTGCCAATTTTAAACAGTGTGTGGCCGCCGAAACGAGTTTAGAATTTTGTTAATCTGGTTCTCTTTGCGTTGCAAATAATATATCCGAGTCCAATTTATTATCTGTGCTTGTGACCTTAATGTTCTAACAGCGAAGCGAACAACTCGATACACGAAGCTGTCACTTGCTGAACAACGAACGAATTAAGGAAAGTGCGGAGCAGACGTTAATGAATTAATGACGACTGGAGGACGTACAGTTGAAGATTAGGCAATTGAAATATTAAAAAAGCTAAATAAGTTTTGGTACCAGCCTATCAATTGATTTTGTCTTAATCTAATCTGGAATAAGATTTGACAGCAAATTATTTGCAAATTAATCTTAGTGATTTTCACCGAAAACATCTCAACCAAGATAAATTTTCACATTTGAAAAAAGTCATGACTTCAAATATGGCATTTTTCGGATCAACAATTTTCTTTCTAAAATTGGCGTTGTAAGACCCTCTGAATGAAAAAGACATTGAAAGTGTATATAAAGCTAGCACGTCCATTAAAGCAAATATGATAAAAGTAGTCGGGGAAAAGAATCCAGCAGCAAATTTCTCACTGACATTTGTTTAAATACGGTATGGCAAAAAATTTGAATAACAGTTTCCAGAAATTTATGCGATTTAACTGATCCTTTATTCAAGGCCCCCTAATAATGCCGTAAGATAAATACCAAAAATACACTATTTTGTGCCTTCAAATAATAGAAAGCATATGTTGAATGAAGGTGCGGCCCGCGGTTTTACCCAGTTAATGATATATGGCCCTCCTGCAAAAAAGGTTGCACACCCCTGCTCTAAACAATAAAGAAATGTAAATATCCAAAACAAGGCGGGTAAGATCAAATCTAACGAAGCTTCACGCTTGCCTAAAAAATTATCTACGCCCTCCCTGTGAGTCCGCCCTACCGTTTGAGAACCGCTGTTCTAACATGTAGTGCCAGGAAACCAATTCAGACTTTCTGAAGGCGGTAAAAACTCCGATCTAACCAGCACTTGCTGAATACATCAATATTGTTAGATGACGCTTGTCTGCTTGCTTCAACCTTTATATACTATATTACCCTTGTTCGACTTAGCGCGTTACACCTAAATTTGAACTCTTTTAAAACACTCGTAAGCTTAGGTAAATGTTATTACTTTCCAGACTAATTTGTTTTCACGATCATTCCCCCCCTAGACTGGAGTCTATTCAAATCCCAACAAAGAGTGGCACAAACTACTCGTGTTCAACTAAATAATAATGTTTAATATGTATTTGTAGGCAAGCCCACGTTGTTTGCCATCGAAAATTTTTGCAACGTCGTAAGCTTTGTTATTGTTTACTTAGAACGTTACAAAGAGCTTTTTACGAAATAATAATTTTATATTGGCGATTTCGGGAACTCAGAATTTGACAGTTCTAGCTTTTCGGTCGAAACACCTGGATTACGAAGAAGTTCAATTAATGTCATAAACATTTATTAAACATTCACCTGTGCAAATCATTGCTTTTGTCTCATGCGAATGTTTTTTTTTACAAAATTGAAAATATTCCAATAACAACGCTCAATCATTGATCCGAAATTAGATTTTTGTTGAGAAAACTTTTGTCGTTGACCTAACAGGTTTCACTTATAGCTCAATTTATAGATTTTACAACTAAAAACCTTTGTGTGATCGTTCTTCCCTTTTGCTCTCCCACGAAGTTTTGTCGATCAGTTCTCATACTTTCATTGCGAGTGTCTACGTCAGGGCTTTCCAAACGTTCTTTTAATATATTAAAATTTTCCTCGACCCCTGTTAAGTAGGCATTGTTACGCAAGAGCGCCGCTTCTCTGATTCTATGTATTCTCTTGAAAATGTAAGATTTTTGTTTTGCACCAACTTGATGAATGTGTTTCGAATTGAAAATTTAAAAAAGTACGATAGATATAGTACAGCAAGGGTCGGCAACCTTTTGTCGCTCGCGGGCCAAAATTAAGGGCTGCAAGTCATTGGAGGCCGCACGTATTTTTAGAAAGTTGAAACACAACGGTGGTTGGTGCTTTTCATAATAAAAATCGAGCAGTGATACATGTTTCGAATAGAATATAGATTTATTTCTTCATTGCATTGCATCTCAAAAATTGCCATTTGAATATTTTCGGCGCCATTGAACCCTTGGCACTTAGCATCAACTTGTCTGCGTTTTGTTGCTATTTGTCTAATCATAATTAAGGTATAGGCTCATTAAATGAGTAATTGTGAATTTTATACTTGTTGAATTATAATATAATTCAGTCTACACGTGTCTCACAATAAATTCTGTTACGTAAAGAATATAATCGTCATACAGCTGTTTTATTATAATAATTCGATGAAGCGTCGCGGGCCGGGTTACATTACTCCGCGGGCCGTAGGTTGCCGACTCGTGTAGTACAGTATTTTGTGTGAGTTTCATGTTTTTTCATGTTTATTTTCCGTGAACTTCGTTATGAAACTCAATTTAGCTAGAATAAATTTATAGTTTTTTTTTCGTGTATCTTGACTATTACATTGTTGTGAAATTTGTCTCTAGGTGAAAACAAATCAACGTTTATCGATCGATAGAGTTTATCAAAAGCGAAACAAAAGTGCCCGAATGAGCGCATGACATCATTTTAGCTTTGGCACATTGGTTTTCATATTAAATATTTAGAGATGTAAAACGCTAGAAACTAAAATCTTCTTTCCCAAAAACCTCAGATCGAAGCTACTCACACTCACTTAGAGGCGCTCCAGAAGTATGTTTACCAATATGGAGGTGACTAATTTTGTTCGCCTACTTTACACATAAAGTTGTATAAAGGGACTGAAACATATGAGCAGGGGGTATATTCACTTGGCTAACACAGATAGTTCTCGAACTCATAATAGAACTAAAATAAGGAAAATCGGAATAAAAGTATGACCTAACCCTAACCTGGTACACATACTACGGGGGTACCCACTTATAAAACCTTATAAAATCCTGATGGTGCGTAAAGAAGAAAGCTGTTGAAATCAAAAGATCAAGAAAGCTGCTGAATTCCACCTAATTGAATTACTTGGCCAAAAAAATTACAGTTTTTTTTTACTTTTTATATCTACTTTTTCACAGTAGGAAGCTTCGATATCTCCTATTTTGTTATATACATGTGATTTAACTTCAATACAGCATTAATCGACATGGTAATCTACGTCCAAGTCGAGTCAATTATTCGCGTCTTCCAAAAACTGTTTCATTATGTGTCCAAAATATTAATTTTTAGGTAAAAAGAAATTCAGAGATTGGTTTGATTTTGGCGAACTAAACATCGATATACAACCTTCACCATTTGGCTGGGACTCCATCGAATATCTAGCACAGGAAACGGTGAGTTGTGTTAATTTTATTCAGTTGTCCATAGGACATATTTTGCCTTCGCATCCCATACCGCTATTTATGTTTGTTGAAATTTTGGGATACCTGATAATTTTATATCCGAATCGAATAATTTTGAATCGATTCTCGAATGCTTGGAAATTGTATATGACTTTTGTATTGTAATAGGTCCTCCAGAATTACACATTACTATAGAATCATAGAATCCACCACTCAGACAGTTCGAATGTTTCAAATGTTTCATCAATAACTAACCAGGAAGTTTCCTTTTCGAAAATATGACTTCAACAAAATAATCCCAAATCCATCTCCACCGCTGGCGAACGAAAAAAAACTAGACGGTTCTTCGCCGCTCTAATTTACCTTAACATATTTAAATCTTCTTTCCAATGCGGTATGATTTGTGTTAGTACAAGATAGGCTTGAACAATTTCTTACATACAAAGCGAGTGAACTCCGCCATGGCCGTAGTGCTTCATTATGTTATGGAACTTTAGGCTGGATTATTTACATCCATCCGTTTAAATTGCGACTACTAAGGTGTTGAGAACAACTAACCTCGTAAATAGTAAAAAATCAAAAGTGGAAATCGGAACGTCAATTCAAAGATATTATCCTATTTCCGCTATATTTGTAGTTATTTAGGGAACATATAAAACATATTAGCGAATCCTCTCATTACGGATGCTCATGGAAGTCATGGCTAGTTGCGAACATGAGCATTATTCAACCCAGTTTCTACAAGTGCGACGTATGCGCGCTCTACATGCATTCTTGCTCTTTAATATTTCTGTATTTATTAGCGGGTAGCAGAACTTGGGTCGAAAACATAACAAATATTTCAGCCAATTTCCCGACCACAGGTGCTCATGCAAACCATCTCTAGAAACGCATATGAGCATAATACATCCCGATCTCTGTAAGCATGACGTATGTACGTGTTACATACATTCTTGGGTACTCCCGTAGTGTGCGTACCAGCTTAGGGTTAGGTCATAATTTTATTCCGATTTTCCTTATTTCAGTTCTATTACAAGTTCAGGGCTGTCTGTGTTAGCCAAGTGAATATACATATACAAGCTCATAGGTTCAGTCCCTTTACACAACTTAATGTAGTACACAACTGGAGTAGGCGAACAAAATTAGTTGCCTCCATATTGGCACACACACTTAACCATTCTGAATTTGATTACAGGTAGCAGAGCTTGTTGACCTGGCGCTGATAGTAAGATCAGAAAACATTCCACCGCTTATACCTTGTGAGGCGGAGCCTGATTTGAGACATTTACCTTTGTATGCTTCTTCGTCGTTGGTTCAGAGAGCGGAAGTCCTGAGTGAGTATTAATTAATATTCATTTAGTTGCGATTCTAAATATATCTTGCAAGTTGGATTCTCATTAGGGAACAACTCTTGTGAATATGAAATTGTCATCAAATGTTTTAGATTTTTGTGGAATGAAAACAATATTTTACATATTTTATATTTTCCCTCATTCACATCACAAATAGACACTACTAAAGCTACGCAAGGCGAATCATGTGGGGCAATCGTTCCCAACCTTCCAGCATTTAACGCCCTTTTTTGGTATTTATAGTGTTACTTTGATTGATAGATTACAAATTCCAAACGAGTGAAAACATCCTGTTAAATATTCTTATCAAGCAATAAACTGGGAAGAATGGCGAGGTTTCTTGGAAAGGGAAAAGTAAAATGATTTGACTCCAAGCATTGAGTCCCTCATTAACTGCTATGTGTCCCCTTGACTGGCAACGGGCCCCCAGCTAGGAACCGCTGATGTAGGATTATGCTCAAATTGTTGTGCAAAATTTACTCTATTATGCTGACGTGCCAAAATATTTCAAAACTAGATAGATATATTCTTATAATGCGTAGATTCTTAATTTGTAAAGAAACGGTTGCTTTTCATTTTCTGTAGCAAAATATTTTATCCAAGTCTAGTCAGTCGTATATGCCTTGCACGGGGCAAATAACAAAATGTACTTTTCGTTTATTTGTAACTCGAATTATATCCTTCTGATGGTTCAACTCAATTACTTTTGCTCTCGCTAGATGGTGATTTGTATTATATGTTAATTCATAAATTTGTTACCTCAATTCTTTTTAGATACTTCAGAAAGCGTGTCTGCCGATTTGGAATCATCTAGCGAAGCAAAAACGCAGGCGAAAAAGAGCAAAACTGACAACCAGGCGTCTGTTAGCTTCAACCGCAAGTTGGCGCTAAAGCCTGAACACATTCATGAAGCCATGCGCAGATTCAACAGTCTGAACACAACAGCAAAGTTTTTATCGAAAGTGATGACAATATCGAACTTGCCACCGAAAACGAGACTGCTATGCTTGTCATGATCTTTTTTTATTCGAAATATGGTACTCCCGCAGTATGTGAGCCAATATGGCGGACACCGGAACGATGTATGTGTACCAGGTTAGGGTTTGGCCATAATTTCAGATACAAATAAAATACTACGGCAGTCACTTGGCTAGTCCTCGAACTCGTAATAGAACTAAAATAAGAAAAATTGAAATAAACTTAAGGCCTAATTCTAACCCGGTACACATACTTCGTTCCAGTGTCCGCCATCTTGGTTCACATACTTCGGGAGTACCAAAAACAATTTACAAATGAATGGTGGACTCGTATATTCCATGTCTAATCCTGTCAATCGTGTAATTTTCAAAATTTATACCCAGAAAGGTCAGGTCTTTCAAGGATAACCAAAGGTCATAGTAGTTTAAATCTGTGATCCTTAACTGCCGAATTGTTTGAACATCAAGGTACAATCACTAGCTTATCGAAGTATCGGTAGCCTACGCCATAGGTTCTCAAAGTTCTTCAGAAGATACATCTAGGGGCTCCGAGAGCTATTCGTTTACTTGGTATTTTGATAATTGTTCAATGCAACTCCAATGCAGATTATTACATTACTGTCATTAAACATCACTCGCGAGGATTAGTAGTCTAAATCTGGGATGGCGAACCCAGCCGACTTTTTTTTAAATTGATTTGTTCAAATGATAGTTCTTCGTATTCGTGCTAATCCATGTTTTCACTGGTATATTTGGTATAATCGAGTACCAGAAATCGCCTCAGTCCTGATGCTCTGCACGTATAAAGCTGTAAACTAGCACCACCAACGCTGGATGCAACAGTAAGTTTCTTATTGACATTGATTTAACCTAGTGATCACAACTTTTTTTCAAGCGTCCCAGTTTTGTAAATCCTCGCGACCCAAGGACATGCTCGAATACCAAACGCATTATAGTTCTCTTTTTTGGCGGAAAAATAAAATTACTAATACAAAATAATCATTTTTAAATAGCATTTATTTCATCAGAAATCACTCCCAAAGTGGGAGCCCAGCGCTTATTTGCCATCGGCAAGTTTTGAAATTATGGCGTGACTTTCTTGGACAAAATAGGAGCTGCCAAGTTTTACACAGGTATGCAATTGTTTAAAAAAAAACAGGCGACCCATAAGTTGAGAAACACTGATTTAATCTATGATTAGGCTTACCATACGCCCCGTTGTAGGCGGGACAGTCCCACTTTTCAACGTCTTGTCCCGGCGTCCCGACCGGTCAGCCAAAAGTCCCGCTTTGGCGTTTAGCCTGTCAGCATAATACACGAACTTAACCAATTAGCATGTTTTCGATACTGTTGTTGCTGTGTGACCCCGGTAGCCTACCTAATGAAGGCGGATGCGTGGTTTTGTTTGTTTCGTTGTTTTCCGCTCATATTGTTAACGGATAATTGCTACAACTTGTTACGTGTAAGCTGCGTACGACAGAAGGGTGCTCAACGTTAACGTAAATTCCTTTCTATTTTTCTAACTAAAACCGTTATTCAGAGAGACAGCGCCTGAACTTTCGATAACAATATAGTCAATGAAGACAGCCGGGATGGTTTTAAATGTAGGCCCCTAATGTAAAATCGGTAAATTTAAAGTTGACAAAATCACAGCTATGGTCTTTGGAGGCGTCCCGCTTTGAGGTTACAAAAATATGGTAACCCTATCTATGATCACTATTTTTTTTTCATGACAAGTATATAATGTGTGATATATTTAGTTTCATAAGTTGTCCATCCCTGTCCTGGCGATTTCTGACAAGATTCGTTTTTTTAAATAAATGCAAACAAAATGGAATCAACAGAGGTACAAGTGTCAATGAGACGCATTTTCACAGGTGATCTTGCACAAGCCTTAAGTCAGCAATATTTGTGCAATAAAATACAGTTCTTTGCAAATCGGCATGCAAGTACAATATAAACACTATATTATTAAGTAATTAATGGTTTAAATTAAACACCGCCTCTGAAGTGTTATTATGAAAATTGAAGTTCACCTCTAAGTGGACTACAGAATGGTTGGAACAACCGCCAAATTTGAGCTTTTTCGGACTAGGTAGCAGTATTTGTTCAATCAAATAGATCCTTTCAATGTTGTGTAAACTTGAAGATAACAGCACTATAAACGCCATGCAATTAAGTGGTTTATGATTAAACTTCAAACGCTACCTCTCTGAAGTGTTGTCAAAGTTTACGTTAATTTGTGGCAGGGCAACAACTAATTATATTTAAGAAATCTAAATTTATGCATTTTCGAACTCTGCAATACAGGAGAAATTTTGCACGAAAACTTATTCTCGGGCAATCCGTAGATTATAACCGAACCGGAGATTTGGGATAGAATCAGTGGTGGGATTCAATTTTTTTGACAGCAGGTTCCATCACAAAAGTCATATTTTTCACCCGGTTCTGTTACAAAGAGTCATTGACAGTAGCTAGTAATGCTAACCGGTTCGCTGATCTCATAAAATTCCGTGAGACGATTCTATAGAACCGGCTGATTCCCACCACTTGATAGAATATATATAAAAACCTGATAAATAGGAGGTTGCATTCGTGATCGAAACGAGAATGTATTACAAGAAACACCAACACATAATATTTGCGTGTCGTTCATCGGTGCGCGGCAAAGAGATAAAACAGACGGATCTTTTACTTTGTTTTCGAATACATTTTACGCATAATAAAATAAAATCAATGCAATATTAGGAACTTGCCAGCTGTACCTCACAATAGCTGTATGTTGGCACAGACGAAAATGACAATGACGTCAAAGTCAAGTTTATTTTTTCCATTCGTAAAAAATAGCATACGAAATTGAGAAAATAAACAAAATTTAACACACATTTTTACTGGGGAAGAGGAGCTGGGAGAAGAGAAACTGGTTATCGAGCAGAGACACCCTGGGTTCAGTATCTAATTAAATTTGTAAGGTCGGAAATTAAGTTTTTAGAACACGTCAATATTGCAATATGTTCGGGCCTCAATCACAGATCCAATTAAGATCATTTTCACGCATGTGTTTGTCTAGTTGCAATAACACATATCTGTTTGTAAGTGGTTGGATGCAACCCCGTTCATCAGATTACAGGTAGCAAATACATGACGTCGCGTGCCAGAATCGGTTCAATAAGTAGTGGTTTATTTTCCGACTATATTTCAATGAAATACACTTTGTTGAAAGAAGTAAAATTGGCATTTCTTGGTGAAAGGAAACCAATACTGGTTATCGATCAGCGACACCTGTGATTAGGCCTAACAGTAATGGATGAAACAATGAAAAATCGAATAAGGATTAATGAAATAAGTATACACAAAGCACGTCGAGACGACCTAGATATCCAGAAGATGCCCGGGATGTTATTATGTAAAAAGTCTCCGCCACGAATGTGATATTTGAGAAGCCCCCCCCCCCCCCCCCAATTTTTAAAAATGATAAATAAGTAATATCCAGTTAGAGTTAGGAATGATTTGAATTTTTAGCGCAATCGGTATTCCTAGTCCTCATCCTAACACCAGCTAAATAATTACTATTTTTTAGGGGGTAGGAGTGGTTTTCTTGGTCGTGAGGGATGGCGTACCCCTGAAGCTGAGTCGCAAACTCTTTTGATTACAATTCATTTATTGCATTTTACACGAAATAAAATAAAGGATATCAAATGGTACATATATACATAATATATGTAATTAAAGTTCATTGTTTGCCAACAACCAAATGACAATAATGCTATAATTAACTAATTTCATGTCACAGGCGTTTTTGTAATTAACACATTTTTACGAATAATATGTACGCCAGTGGTTCCCAATCTTTTAGGGCTGGTGGCCCCCCTTCCGGAGGGGTTTGGGCACTCATGGCCCGCGGTTCATCATTCCAGTGGTATTTATAGTATTATTTTAATTGGTAGATTCCAAATACCATTATGTTCATTTCATGCTTAACAAATTGAAAACACCCTGTGAAATGTCCTTATCAAGCAATGGGAACTAGGAAGAACGGGAAGTTTTTTTGAAAAGTGAAAATTAAAATCAGTTTTGCGCCCAGCATTGTGGCCCCCTTCAACTACTTTGGGAAGGCAGGGTTCCTCGGTTGGGAATCGTTGAAATGTACGCATTGTGCAATTGCAGCTAAAGGTATCCTTGGCTGAACTCTCCATTTTGTACAGGCTACAGGTAGCAAGTACAGAGTTGTTAATATCAATTAAACCGTTTGGCACAACCCGTGTCCATGTCACGGGCGCAAACAATAATGACAAAAACAGAAAGACTTGGGTCTTAATTCAGGCATTAGATGTTTATAAGATTTTTATCATTTGGGTCACTAAAATTAATATACAATATAAATTGCGAGTAAAACTTTTGTGTTTTTTCTTATAAAATCCTAAAAACCATATAAGATTTACTCAGAAGCGAGGTGTATCTACAGACAAGATATATCATAGGACTAGAGCTCAAAAGAAATAATCGTAGATGTGCTAGATTTCTAGAAGGTGACCGCAAAGAGTACCTCGGCAGCATACAGTGAGCTCAAACAAGCCATTTTTAGTCGAAATGAACTTGTTTTGCCTTTTCGGCAATTAACAGATTCCATTTTGTTGCGCGCTACATTTGCAGTCACGGTACAGCTGTACGAAATTCAATTTCGGTACATATTTTCTGTTTACCCGCAAATGGCGATGCGTGTAAACCCCACTAAACATCCGCAAATCCGTAACCATAAATACCAACCGGTATCCGTTTTAGGCTCCTACAAAACCCCTTAAATTGGCGAACCGCCGTCTGTGGTGACATTCTCCGTACTATTCAAGTGAGACGCCGGTATCGATAAGTAGTGTGATGTGGAGAGAATTTAAAATTATCATACACGGAATTTGGCGCTCCAAAAGTGTGTGTACCAATATGGAGGTGATTATTTTTTTCGCCTACATTACATCAAGTTGTGTAAAGAGACGGAAGCCTATGGGTAAGGGGTATTCACTTAGCTAACACAGACAGTCCCCAAATTCGAAATGAAACTAAACTAAGTAAAATCGGAATAGAATTATGGCCTAACCATAACACACCAGGTACAAATACTACGGGAATACACGGAATTTGCTCGTTTTGCAATATTGAACATTGAAATTACTTCCCCCTAATACCCTTATTCGGGAATATAGGAAATGTAGCCTCCACATTGATCAGGCCGGAGCTGGATCAAGCTGGAGCATTTCTATCAGAATTGTCACAAATGTTCACTCATAGCAAGCACATAGGACATAGTATGTAGTCACTGTTACGAACATAGCTGAACTGAAGCAAATTCATTAGGTTACTCTTTGAGAGTTTTCATAAAATCTTTGCTTAGAACAAGCACTGCGTGAGGACTGGTGGTGGGTCGGACTTAATTTGAACACAAAAACTCTATAGTTAGTCGACCTATAATTTAAACTACTATACGAGGCCATTTGCACAATACGCAATCCAGCACTCATGCTGACACCACTATTCATCAAGCTGGCGACACTATTTAAGTTTTCTTGAGCAGAGTTACCTGGTAAAATCTTTAATTACCTATTTTGTATAACTCAATTGTTTTGGCACACAAGAAGCTTTTAGACAGATAATACAACGTTGATTGCGAGCGTTATCCTCTGCAGCGCTTGTGCTTTGTTTTACTTGCTCAATTAGGAATCATTATTCTGTCAATTTAGGAATCATTATTCTGTCAATTTTTTTTTGATTATCAGCGCAACGACGTTAGGAACACGACATAGCCACACCTTTTGAAACCTTTTGAAATTCGCTGTAATCATCAAATACTTTCCAACTTCTCAAGAACCTAACATAAACACACATGGAATAAATTTTCGTCCACATCTTATTAATAACAACTTAATCCACGATATCCGCATATTTAAATATATACATATCAGATACATTTCCGATTCAAAATAAAAACTTTATATAGAGCCAATCGTTCTTATGACGTAACAATCTTATAGTATTATGTTGTCATCATGGCACCACAATTTATAACATTATGGCAATATGACGTAACAATATTAACACTTTACTATTACGTCCATAAAAATGAACTTTAAAGAAACATGCTCATCGCATTCTTTCTTGAAAATATATAGGTGACGTCATTATAAGTACGTCATAATGGGAAGATCTCAATAAGTACCAAATTAAAGTTACACCTAAATAAACTTTTATGGCAATAATCACCATTACAGAATAATTAACATAAATATAATCTGAAATCTGGCATAGAATGGGCAAACAATGATATCTTTAATCAGTCGAGTCGAGAATTTATCATTTTGCTACGTTTGATCACAATTAGGCGTTGATTAGATTATTTCAAGTTGGGTTAGAATATGTTAACCCAACAATTTTGTTGCGGGCGCGGTATTTTTGAGATTTATTTCGAATTGCTAGGACCAGAATCAAGAATAAGTGAGAGCTAATTGATAAAAATATAACCAAACATAGCGTTGATAAATTCTTGACTCATTTTTCATATAATACTCTTTCAACTTTACCACAAAAACTGTGTAAACCATAAAAAATAATCAATCGCTACAAATATTATAGACAAACAGTGACGTCATAGAAACATGACTTCATCGTTCGATACTACGATATCACCTTGATTTTTCCCAAAAGGTAGCAAAAAAATATATTACAAATTCCACTCCAAAAACCAAACAAGAACCAATCTCTCATGTGACGTCATCTAATGGTGACGTAAAAACGACAATACTATTCCATTACGTGCATATAATATTAGCAAACTACACTCTTGAACTTTTCCGGTTGAGCGCCCAATCATAAAATGTGAAATAAGTAAAACTAATCTAAGCTATTAGAAACGATCAGATATTTAGTGGCACGTCGATGTATTCGGTTTTTCAGCGACTAGTGAATGAGCAATCAACAGTCAAATTTTGCCACCAGAATGATGTTAAAATGACACTATATTTTACAATTTTTTGTACAATCTATCTAATTTTAAGCACCAAAACCAACTTCTAAACAATAACAGCTGACTAAGTTCGAGAAACAAATAAAAAATAGTATATTTTTTCTTGACAATATTAGAATTTAGATAAAATTTTACACAAGTGAATCGATGAATTTTAACACCTATACACAAGCTCAGTGGATGATCGGTTTAAATATTGAACAATTTTTCGTGATAAAATTTTCACTTCGAGTTCTGCATTATGCAGGTGTGGAATGGCGGCAACATAAAGTATGTCAAATTAAAGAACATACTCAATCAAAAATACGTCATAGGAGCCTGGGTGGTATTAACGGGCTAATTTTTCAAATGTGGTGTGAAAGAACATAGACAAAGTAAGAGACGAGAGCCAAAAACTTGCACTCTACTGTTGCCAAAACTTTTCCACAAAAATTTGGGTTTGGAGTGCGGCTAGGATTACATTAAATGTTGAAATTGAATAGACAACAGAGCACTTGCGGATCAAAACCATGAGACAGAAGTAAATTTTGAAAGGGTTCATAACAGGATGATCACCTCACAAGACGGTTTTTATTGAATATTTAAATTTTATGTCATGACTTCTATGGGAAACTTATACTAACTCAGAACTTTTGGGGCATATCACAGCTACCTCGATTAAGAAAACAAGCGCTAGTTATTAACAGAAATGAAATAAAGAAAATAAAAAGTTCGAAAAGAAAGAAAAAATGTCTGGACTAAAATCAGATACATATAGCTAATGGGAATGCGTCCAAAATATACCACGTTACTCAAACCAAAAAAAGCTATATTGCGGGATTTTCTGAAATGGCAAAACCATACCGATGGAAAAGTTGGATTGCTCAAAAAAAATCGGTTGCGGATCTACAAAATTTGCAGCGCGATTTCCAAGCGGTTTGGTTTTGAAAAAATTACCAAATATTGATATTCAAAAAATTGCATGTAATATTGTGTTTAAATATTTTGCTGAAATTTCATTTTGGTTTTAGATAATACAATTTCGAGTATTTGAAAATAGGATAATGAATTCACAAATACATATTTGATTCAGAAAATTCGTAATCAGAAATTAATTTCGAAAAACCCTAAAATTTAATTTAGACATAAATAGCCATATTTACAAATAGACTTTTGGTAATTAAATTTAAAACCATTTTTTTTTCAGAAAATAGACTAATTTCATTCCATCTATAGTGCAGCAAAACAAAATCAGTACTATATGACGTGGGGTGGATATCAATAACGCATTGAAGCATAACAATGGCTAGCATTATGACGTTGGACTTTACAAAATAGAACATTAGAATTTAAACATCCCCAATAGCTGATTGTTTATGAAACAACAAAGCAAAAATAAAAATGTTACATGTTTTTAGATTTTTTGTTATAAATATATACACGAAAAAGCTCACAAAATTGCACTTATTTGCAAAAATAGCCGTAAATATATGGCGATTAAAACAAAAATATTTTTTTTGGTTTTGTCAAGATTTTGGTCAAGCGCGTACACATTCAATCAACTACCCGTTAAGCAAATGCACCCACTAATAGCAAGGTTCATTTTACAATACAAAAAGCGACAAGCCGAGACTATATAGGCTATACCACTAACTCGGGGCGTATTGGGGACGATTAAGTCGCACTTAGTTAATTCAACTCATCATTTTTACTATATAATAATCGTTTAATTTCAAACCTTTTAGAAATACCGGGAAATAATTCCAGAACTTTCACTATTTGCGCAAAAAGGAGAATATTCTGTCGAATATGATCCATATCAAATACATTCAAGTACGGCAATTATGATTCAATAATCGATTTCAACCGGACAAGTTCAACCCGGATACTGAACCAATTGTTACCAAAGTGGTTGGTACTTGACGCTGTTTGCAAAACTTCATGTAATCAGGCGTGTATCACGCGTGAATCACGCTTACCTCACGTGCTACCTTGTAGCGTTAAGTACTTTTCATGGATTGATTTGATATAAATAAAGTGCCAAAAGACAAGCAAAACAACTTAAAAATGATTGATGGTCGTTAATTTTAATAAAGAGAAAAAGGATTTGCGCTTAATAAAGAAAGAAAACTTATGCAATGGTTTAATAAGCTATTATCTGGCTTTTTCTATGATTTTTGTCATTGCTAAGCGGATGAATATTTGCTAAGCGGACGAATATTTTTTATTTTATTGCGAGTTAAGGTAGTAACACCGGTCTTAAATTACATGAAACAAAATGTACAGATGCACGTTACGTGTAAATATAAGTTTTATGACATCATAAAATGACATCACATTGATGAATATGCAATTAAAGAAATTCTGATTGTTGAGAAAAATACGATTTTTATGGCGGGTTGTTCCAGTGAACGAGACATCGCAGGATCACAAGCATAGATCATTCACAAGACGTCGACTGGTGGCGTTCAAAGGCACTTTTCTCCGTATTACCAAGTGGTTTTGCAATCTGCACGATTCGTGCAAATCTATGTCTCCGTTGTTTCGGAATGAAGAGAATTTCCGGATTCAACTGGATTAATCTGGTTTTCGGCGGAATGTGACGTCGACTCTGTATCGTTTGAACTTGCTTGAGTGGTGGCTATTGGACCAGCACTGTAGAAAAGCTTTGCATTTTTAGGAAGGTAGACCAATTCTGAACGGGGACCACTGAACGTAGTCGTACTGGTGCTGGGTTGAGTTTTACTCGGATCTTTTGATGCCGGGTAGAAAGGGAGCGAGTCAACGGACATCGTGTGCCGTGGAGGTGTGATGACGACTTGTGGGTTGTTCTGGTTTGTCGAGTTCTCACAACAAACTTGAGGAGTTGCAATTGGAACTTGGGGATACGTAGAACGACAACAGGGGCAAAGTGCAACTGGAACTTGCTGGGGGATTTGATTATAATCATATTGTGGGTAAAATTTAGATTGGGGTTCCGAATGTGGGTAAAAATTTGGAGATGCATAGTTGATTTGTGGGGGTACAGTGGATGGAGCGTAAACAGGGAAGTAATTATTTGAATTGCAATTGTTATTGTTGTGGTTCCATGTTTGTGATTGGTAGCATTGTGGCTGATTTTGGTACAGTTGGTTATTGTCCATTACTTGGTATTGCTGTCCTTGGATGGGTCCATGATATGGCACGTACGGTTGTGGGACCAATGCAGATCGAGAACCAGATTTTGATTGGTTGGAATGGCACGAATTATATTGGTTTCCACTTTGGACTGATTTTGCCAGAGCTTCTGTTGCAAGCTTGGTCACAAAATCGATGATCTGGCCCCTCTCATTCGACATGAGACACACAGTGCTGTTATCTACGACTTTCCGTACAATCAGCAAATATTGGAACTTTAGTTCATCCTCGCAGGCAAAATGACTTTCCAAATAACTCAAAAGTTTTTGTTGCTGCCTTGGAAACTCACTAAAATCAATGAAAAACCTGGAACACATCAATCGCTCCAGCCTGCTTACGTCTTCTGCAGACGACGTTGAGTACGAATGTGACGTCACATTAGATTTATCAGTAGATGCAGACGACAGTGTGGTATTCAGTGAGGTGTCATCATCTGTATCGCGCTCGTAACCTTCGACCTCACCTGCGGTAAAATCGCGAACTAGAAGATTGCAATATCGCAGAAGACCGCCACCACGGATTTCTTCGGGTCTGGATAAAATAAGAGTTCGTTATTAGAAAAACTGTAAAACTAGATACATTTATATGGTTTAACATGAGGTGGGTTCCACGGGTAGAATTTCGGGTTCCCGTATATATGTACGAAGTTAGGGTTACATCATAATTTTATTCCGATTTTCCTTATTTTAGTTCTATTACACGAGTTCGGGGACTGTCTGTGTTAGTCAAGTGAATATATCTATATAATTCAGTCCCTTCATACAAAAAAGGTACGAACAAAATTAGTTACCTCCATATTGGTACATACACTTCTGGAGCGCAAAATTTCAAACCCAATTCACCTCAATGTTTTTTCAAATTGTACATCGCATTGTAAATGAGTCATTAAATTAAAATTAAAAGAAAAAACATCGAGCAAATTGAAAAAGCATCTTAATCGGAAGCAGGACTGTTGTTAAGCGTGTTCCCGATCATTTAAGGGTAAAATATATCTCTTGAATAGCGGAGAACTAAAAAACGAAATTGATTCAACATGTAGACTGATCTAAAGCTTTAAATTTGATTTTGTGCAAATTCTACAGGCAAAATGATTTAACCAATTGTACAAAACGCAACATACCTTTTAGTACATATTCGTCGGTGACGTAAATGCCTCAAAGCAGCCTCGAAGTCTCCATAAACGCTTTCAGCCAGAACGGAAGGGTAAAAGTTGGGTGAAATTTTGATATCTTCGGATTCTTCTAGATTTTTGGAAACGATTTTGAATCTTTGGTACGAATCTAGTATGATCTGGAATGAATCGACGCTGAACTCGTATTGTCTCCGCATGTTCTCAACAAACTTTAGCTCCAAGTTGCGACCTATGCACAGAAAAATTAAAAATGAATATCGCTGCAGTATAGGACCAAAGTAGATATGCCAAATTGTTCGTTCAGAAATGGTTTTGATTATCTTTTATTATGAACCAGGGGTCATCTTTTGGTCAGGGTTTAAATGCTGAACCTGTTTTAATTTTAGACATGAGAAAAATTATCGTGCAGTAGGACCAAAGTATTTTATACCACGTTTCTCGAAAATACACTTTTTTTTTATCTTCGTGCATTATGGATCAGGGGCCATCTTTTGGTCTGGGTTTCAATGCTGAACCTGCATAGCTTTGATTTATAATTGTGCCTTATGTATTCTTCCGTATCTTATGTGTTAGATTTGGCTGTTAGAACCAAACTATTACAAAAAATGCGATTTTACAAAACAATAAAATGTGACATGAGCTAATTTGGTTTTGGTGCGGCGATATGGTAGAATTATGAATCTACAAAACTGAAAATATTCATAATTGAATGACGCGCTTAGGTCTCAGTAAACACACCCATTAAATCTAAATCAGATGGATACACTATCCAACACTAGAGTTTGATAAAATAAATGTCAATAGCGACCAAGTGATGAACATTTTTGAATTTTACTTATTGGGCTTGCAGAAGCTTTAGGTTGTGAATCAATAAAACATAATTTACAGTCACGTGTATTGATTTGAAGTTCCGGATATTTCGTAGAATTCATTGGTTGCCATAAGGTTTCTCTTAAATGACACCAACACTAAGTAGACCTAATATTCGTTCAATAAAGCATTCATCGCAACTCAATCCCGGAATTGTATATTAATTCGTTAACAAAATATGAACGAACTCGCCGTGAACGTGAGAATTGCGTGGGCTTTTAGTGCAATATAGGCGCGGTTGCGTCGAAACACAAAAGACTACGTAGCACGCTCCGACGCCTTTGTTAGTGTATAAGTTTTCTTTGGCACTAATTAAGCTTTCACAACAATTGAAAATCAGCTTTAACAAAGTATACGCTTCCGGTGACCTGAAAAGAATACGCTATTACAGAGGGACAGTCAATTTGCGTGTGAATTTGTCGCTTGGGCGTTTTAGAAACGATTTAATAAAACTAATGTCAAAAGACTGGAAAGCCATTTTGTTTGCGTGTTAGAGCCCTTAAGAACGACGATAAACTTAAACAAGGGTATTTTTTTCAATATTGTGATGAATGTTCAAAAACTTATTTTTTCGACAACGTAATGTTAGTTATGAGTTCATTATATCATATCATTGAGTAAATGGACAAAAAACATTAAATTTCATTGCGTCTTCAAGCAGCCAAAAATGTCTTAGTTCCATATGTAAAGTTAATAATTATATTAATAATGCAGAAAATGTAATCCAATGTTAACAGCAAAGTCAAATCAGTACGACGAAGTTTGAAAGATAGCGTAATGAACGATGGTTAACAGTTTTTTATTGTCTTTAAAACAGTATTATAACGTTAAATCGCGAGGACGTCATTTTTTTATTTAATGTCTGTCTCTTTAAAATCCCTGAATGTTGTTTAATTATTTATCCTAGCCATCGTTTTCAATATTATTCGTTATATTAAAATACACACGCTTGATATTCTTTAAAAAATGAAGATTTGGCAAAATTTTGCATCGTTGCAAACAATAGCTTACGCAGCAGCCCCGCCGGAAGCTCGTTCGTCTGCAATTGGCCGTGAATTTGAATCCAGGTTACCGGCACACAAACCTGTTGTCGAATAAATATCCGATTACACGGCCGCGATGTATCAACCCGCCACAATCGAAGGATTTAAAAGATTTGGAATTTTTCCGTGAAAAAAAAAATGAAAATAAAAAAGGACGTAATTTTTTCCGTAATATAGGAGTTGGGATGGAAATTAGTTTCACTGTGTTATGTTAATACCGACTTTCAAGTTGACAATTTTGCCATAATAAATCGTTTCTTAATTCCACTATATATAGTCAATGCCCTGCATAGCGCAAGAACATAACATGTTTTAAACCATTTAATTGCATTCATTCGATTTTCTCGGTTAATGTGCAGCATTTTTTCTAATCAAATATGCCTATCAACAATACATGGTCGCTTAATTAAAGTAAAAACACCTTTTGAGTGATAATTACAAATGATTAGGTCCTAGTATTATGCTACTCATCTTCATACACTGGGGTCAGAAATCTGGGAAACAGCTTCGCGTCTTTATGTTGTAAGAGATTTTGGGGGTTGAGGTTTATTGACCTTCGTTATCCGTATAACACTGCTAAGCGGAAGCTTTTAGGAACTGATTTCCTCAGATAAAGTTAGTCATGAAAGGTTAGGTCTTATTTTGGAAATGACTTCAACTAGGTTTTAATTTGATCGCTGATAGATTTCGTTGTGTGATTGTGTTAAAAGTTCCATTGGCCGCGCTATCTATCACCACAGCTAAAACTTAGGGTCGTTGTTTTTGTCTGTTTATTTATGAAACAAGACTGAAATAGTTTTACGCATCTGTGAACATAGACAAAACAGAGGTTCCGTTGTGTTTACGAACAACACCGACGCCTGGGAATTCATGGGGAAGAGCAACACAACTCTTAAGAACAAATAAGTTTAGCAATCCTGGTAACGCCGTTTCACGAGTGAGATTGCTTAAAGAAAGCTAAACTCGTACCATGTACTTGAACCGTGGTCGCAACTTGCAAGCTGTCACTCAACTAATGGATATGAAATTTTATACGCGGAGTTATAAAAACATATTCAAATATAAGAACAAGCCCAACAAGGTATAATGAAAATCTCGAACAGGGCCGTTAAATTCAGGCTTCACTAGATTTATGAAGTGCTCTGCCAGGTTTGCCGAATATCACGCAAGATAATTACATCATAATCGACACGGAAAAATACATTTAAAGCCGACAGTAGCCACCCAGTAAAATGCCTCCGCGTTTGGATATATTAACGGTGCCAATTTAGCGTGAAATCTCAGCGGTTTTGATCTCAATAAATTTAGTTGGAGTTGGGTTAGGAACTGAATTATATGACAATGTATTCATGAGATTAAACGCCGCAATTGATTGCGGTTGATATAACATCAAGCAAGTGAGACCATATACCAAAGCGGCACCATATAAACTAAGTTATAGTGCTGCAACATTATTGTTATTAATTCTGGTGTCGAGTTTCGGAGAACTAGTTACAAACACTCAGGATAACTTGACTAAAAACACACATAGGCTTACATAATGACTCGATATGCAAATACAAAGTGTATCGGGCAACGGGCCAAAGACGAAATGTATATTTTACACCTGGCGCATTGCCATACCAGGCTCGACATAATAAATTGTCAACAACCATGCCATAAGGTATTATTACAAGAGAGAACGCCGTATGGCAACACAACGTCACCGTAATAACACGAAGCAGGATATAGCGGCCTTCCGTGAGTTCTTTGGCCTGAAATCTATGCTATTTCTGGCCGCATAAGTGATCTTTTATATTTGTTATGGATACAAGACCGTGAACAACAGCTCATGTTAACGAAATGTCTCGTAAACAACATTAATGGTGATGGAGTCGATATGTATGGCCAGAACAAAATAACTTTACCTTTAGGGATACAAATTAATTACGAAGTTGGAATAACAAATAAAATCCTAATTTGTGGTATCGATTGGGTTTCTACATATCCTTCTTTTATATTTTTGAGGTGGTGGATCCGTATACATACAATTCAAGGATGTCAATATGTAGTTGATTAATGTATGGCTGAGGAAGTTATAGTTTATTTCGTTCTTAAACTCGTCAAGAGCCAAATAGCGTAAACGGTTTCCAGGCGCGAAATTCGGCGATGCGGATTCAACAACGCAATATAGCCATTCCTCAGACTTGCCTGTCTCTCATGTATGTCTGAGGAAGTCTGACCTAGGCCACACGAAACGTTACAGAAATATAATAGTGTTATTGTGCAGCAAGACTCTTGAATCACTTGTAATATATTCCCAACGTATGAAAATCAAAAAGCTACTATACTGAGTACAGCTAATTTCAAATGTTTTATTTTATTTTATTCGTGTTTGAAATAGTTGGCTGGAAATATAATTTAGGATCCGATTGTATCGATAATTAACGTACTGAACTTATCTTTGCATATTTGTAAAGACACAAATCTTTATTTCCAAAAGCATCTGGATATAGATATTTTGTATACCAATAATTCGCTACTCTGTAATTCAACTTATCGGCAATTAATTGAGAATTCGGATATCTAAAGTAATGGATATAATTGCGGAAGGGAACAGTCAATATTTTTCAGATATTGAAAAGAGATCAGTTTCAAACAGCATCAATTTCGAAAGTATTCAATACTTTATATATCCCCTAATGTGACCAGAGAGCATGTTACCTTTAAATCGGAAATGGTCATGAAACCGGAGTGACAGCACGTTCCTATTCAAATGGCTCATACTTTTTGTTAGCCATTCGACTTATCCGTTGTTAACCCTATTCTCACAACTCTAATTTTCATTATAAGTTTATATTAAAGTAATATTAAAAGGCAAGAACGAGTTAAAACGGACTTACTGGCGATTCACTGTATACCGCATATTAACCCACATATCACCGGGACCAATGAATTGCCCTACGCATTACACACCATTTACATCCGTCACACCCAAGGGGTTATAATAAAAACTCGAAAGCTCTCATGTACGAAAACCTCGATAATTCAATGGGGAAACATCATAAACAAATGATTAAAACACGACTATTTTAAAATAAATATTCAAATTTTATTTATCTTTAAACAACTCTACCAGAACACTCGGCGATGACCTTATCACGACGACCAGTTAATCGTAATCATCGGGCAAGCCTAAGTCTAATGTATGTGGGGCCGAGGAAAATTCCAGGGAATGTTAAGCTTAACACCGCTGAGAACGTGCTGTTTCAGAGGATGTAAATTTTGTGACCGTGAATAAATGTTTGGCGCGTCATTTTTTATTATATTTTCTTCC